TTATGACTTACACTATTAAAAAAGATGTTTATAAACATTACTTCACTAAGAATTATACTGTTAGATCAAAATGTATGTTATGAATACACTATATAAATCTTTGCTGTGCAGCATAATTCATATATATTAATCAACAGATATAACCCAACAGTTTGATCTAGTGTGACTAGAAATTGTCATTACTCATTTCCCTGGTCAGGCAAAAAGGCTTTCTTTTGTTGGTGGAGCCGCTGCTCTAAAAAGTTGTAGAATTCAAAGTCGTCAGCCATTCTCTGAAGTAACTTCTCCCGGATTTCCACAGGTACTTCAGGCTTTTCCTGATTTTTGTTAACCATCAGTTGCTCCTTTTGTTCTGTGCAAAGGAAGGGGAATACTAATATGTTAAAACTGTTGCTAGATTTTACCTCCTCAGAATATATTAAACTATAATTATTTTCCAGTAAATGAAAAATGGATGGTGAAAACATTTTGATAAGTAGACATAAAATCAACATCTTTGATTTTTTCATTTTGAAATTAATGAATACCCCTAAAGAGCAAATAGTAGGAAGTCCTGTCATACTCACTTCTGCTACTGTAGACCTGTGATGCTCCAACCATGAAGCGAGGCACAAGAGCCTCCATAAGCAAAAGGGAAATTTCCATATGTTCTACTAAACCCACAACACTGTAATCCTGGGAAACAACCTGCTTAGCAACCTGCAGGGCATCTTTATGACCAACAATCCTGTAGGGAAAATGTAGCTACATTATAATTGAGGAGTTTATTTAAAGCATATTTTTTTGCTATAAGAATTGGGGTATACATTTTTCCTCCACAATTTTTAAAAAATCTTCTCTATAATGAAAGTATTATACTGTTTTAATTCTACAGTAGATTTTAGTTATTTTCAAGAAATTGTGACAAATTTGACTTGGTTTCAGGTATGGTGGAAAGGTATGTTTATGAAGAAACCCTTTATGCTACAGTAATCAGAATAATAGCTGGGGATCAACTTAGCTACCTAACAATGCAGCACAGTCAAGCATGTTCTCCCCTTATTGTGTATACAACTACCTGTGCCATCTGTCACAGTGTCTACCACCCATCAAGCAAAGCAGTTGCTCATAGGTAAACTTTTTTTATTATTATTTTTTTTATTAATCACTTTCTATACTTGATATATATCTATTACATAAACTCAAAAGATCCTTTGTTCACACTTGAGCATGTAAATGGAGATATGCTATTCCAATACTAAACATGTGTGAATTCATGATCAGAAACTCAGTAACATTATTTTCTTCTCAGTTGTGGTCATAGTTATCATGCTCGTTGTGGTGGAGAAGCCCCTGCCTGTGTGCTCTGTACAGGCAGCAGCCAGGAGGAGCAGGCAGCTGATCAGTCACAAGGTCCTGATTCCATAGAGGAACCAAGTGTGAGTTGTGTTTATTTCTATCTTATCTGTAGATATGGTTGATTTGATTAGCCTCATTAAGTTGTTTTAAATATTTTATATGAAAAAAAAGTTACCTAGAGGGGAGGAATCAGTTTTTTATTTTTTAAAACATCATCATCAACAATATTATTAAAATGTTCTTAAGAATTCTAATGGCATCATAAGATATAGATTTTGATTATTTCCAAAAATTAACCCATTCCCGCCGGGCATGCCATGCCATGCCCACTGTGAGATTACTTGTTAGATTGTTTTCACACATAGATGGCTACACTTGTACTAAATCACCAATGAGCCAGTTACGAGTAACGCCTGTCTCGCCTGTTCACCCTTTTCTTTGATTTACAAAATATTTTACATTATCTTATTTTGCTGTTACTAATGTTAAAAAACATTATAAAAATTATAATGTTTATGATAAAAATAACACCATCGATATTCATGGCACTAGTGAAAAATATGTTTTTCCCGCCATTTCAAATCAGGCGCTAACAGAGCCATCTATGGGCAGACATTTAACAAAAAAGTATAGAAAATAGGCACAGCTATTTCCCCATTTTTTGTTCACTTTCCCCGGCAGCTATGGGTTAAGGGAATGGGTAAATCAGTAAAATCAGGTAGGCCTTGTAATTTATTCCCAGGTGACAAACACTTATGAAGTAATGTGTAAAAAAAATTTAACCAATTCTACTGGGAAAATGTAACTTTTGTATTGTTTTGAGAAATGTCTCTATAGCTCAAATGCTTAGCCACCAATTAGTAGATCTTGTCGCCACACCTGATTTCACTTTTCCTTTTAGTTTTTGTTGTTTTTTACTAATGCTATCAATATCCATGTTGTTGTCATTATTATTATTATTATTATTATTATTATTATTATTATTATTATTATCATTATTATTATTATTATTTTTGATATAGAATTATTATATTATTTACATTACTGTAGCCATATAACATAAAGAAAATATTTCTGAAAATCAAGGAAATTTGGGAAGAGGTTAATTTGATCATAAAAATACATCCTTCATATAGTATCCTAAATAGTACAGTTTCAATATAAATGCATATATATTACTAGACCTCTTTTTAAGGTATATTGTAACTTTAAGTTTGATTTATGTATTTATTTATCTATATCTTTAAGAAATTAATAAAAGTATGCCATTTGTTTGTATAGCAAGTTAACCACTCAATCTTACAGTGCAGTCAATTAAGCCACTTGAACTTCACAGGTGGGGCTTGACGATACCCAGCTGGAAGGCATTCGACGAGTGAAGGCCCTGAGCTTTGGAGGGTCAAGATTACAGTTTTTGGATGAATTATCAACTCCACGTGGAGGACCTCCAACAGACAATACATCTAAGGCGAATCAATCTTGGAGGAGCTCTGGGTCAGTGTCAGGAAATCAGGACATTTGGTCGTCACAAGACTTTGCCTTAAAATTAGCACCACCAACCATAGACTTTGAAGGTGAAGCCAACTGGTGATCCTTAATCTTAAAATGAGATGTAAAAATAGTCCTTTATTAAAGGTGAAGAAATAGTGTCTTTGCAGGGAATATGAAAAGAAAGATGCAACAAGTGCTTGGCAAAAAGTTCATAAAATAAGTCTATGCAAAAGCTTGTGAAGATCATAAAGTGTAAATCAGAACAGTAACTGAGACCCTGTGAAATAATTTCAAGAAGTCAAATGGCAATACAAGGACTTATGCAATTATTTTTCTAATATCACAGGCGGGAGTGATCAACATGAATGGAATTTCAAGTCTGAGAAAACCAAAGATATGATTTTGCTCATAATTATCAGATAATACTTTCACTGACTGAAAGCATTTCCAGCACAAAGGCACAAACTGTGTTTACAACATGTAAAGTTATATATTCATATATTTTCACAATAGTAAAATGATTTATATATATATATTTGTGTGAATGTCTCTTGTGAAATTATTTCATGTAATTTTCCTTTTTTATCTATTTATTTATTATCGTTTTCTTTATTGGAAAAGAGGGGTGGGAAAGACAACTGACTACTTAGGAAAACAAGCTATAATTAAAGGGGCTATAGGATACATAATCAAACTAAACTCAAAATTTCTAACAGAAGCCCTCCCGTATGACTGATTTTTCCAGTTGAATTAAGTGAAAATCAGGCTGTTTAATGGCAGATATTTAGAATATGTAATTATTTACATATGAAATTCAGTATTATAACATCTTATTTTATATTTGTCATCTGTCCTGTATCGTAATTACTTCTGTGTATTTACTTTATGTTTATTTATGATATATTTAAGTCGTAATACTATTGAAATTGTTCTTTGAATACACAGAAGGTAATATATGCAAACAGTATTTCAGTACCAAAAGGAGTGTTTTTTTTTTATTTACAAAAAACAGTCAAGTAACTATAAAATACCATGGCAGCAAGTTAATAGTCAATGGTTAGTATAAACTATGCTTATTCCAGACAAATGAACTAAATCATTATGCTGATTATCTAATCAAAGTGCATGACAAGATAATCACATAAATTGCAATACGAAATCACTTTTTTGTCCCTTATATTTTTCTGGCTTCACTTTTACATTCATTTTTCTTAAGATGTTGTATATTTAACTTTGATAACAGAGTTACCAAGTACTCTCATTTCTTAAGAGCTTTAATATCAAGTCACAGAACACATCCACTATTGTCCAATGCTGCTTTTACACTTGACAAATCATTTTTTTCTGATGATGCCTCTAGCAGTTTGACTAAATGAAATATAGAACAATGCTCATGATATTTTGATATAAAAATTAAAGTTGGGCTGAGGATGTAATGTGTAATATGCTCATTATTTGTTTGTTTTTATCCCTGTGAGTTATGTAGAATTGTCTTGATATTTTTTGAATGGTAGCTTTATCCATTGCTTGGATGAAGGTACTTGTCAGCTGTAATTGTTATTTAATTAAGTATTATAATTTTCATCTGTAAATTCCTAGTCCATCATGTAAAAATACTTTAATGTAAATAAGATGCAAAATTGTGTGACCTAATGAAGGGGTGCTAAAAACACCCTATTATTTAATTATTGTTTAGTCTATATATTTTCAGTCTAACTGTGATGCAGTAGATGTTGATTTTTAAAGAAGTTACATAATTGGTTTGATCAGAGAAAACTATTGTACTACCACATTTTTCTTTATTTATTAAGTACATGTTCAGGATTGCATCGATCCCAAAGTTATTGTAAAGTTGTAAACACAAATAAATTATTTGCATACCAAAAAGATTTCTACATAGGAAAGTCTTTTTTTTTGTAGCTTCAGAGCTTAAAAAAAACTTGATAATGTCACTCATATATTATGATTCTTAAAAACTTTTGAACATTCCACAACACATTTGTGAGTTGTACTTCTTTATTTTGAATAAGATATACTCAGAAAAAATTATATGATTTATGACTTCAGATTATGAGAAGTGATGCTGTTTGATATCATTTCTTTTGAAAACTTTCCTTCCTTAGGAATTAAAAACTGAGAAAGAATTAAGAGAAATAAATGATATAAATTAA